CAGACAATGCAGAGACCCGAAAGTTCAGTGCCTTGCCACAATGGGAGGAAGATCATCTCACACTTACCACCCCCTTCAAGGCTCAGGGACTTTTGCAGAAGAGGTTGGCAGAAAGAATGTAAGAGCCAGAGGACAGGCTGGCATGTTAACTGGAAGTGTCTCGACCACTATGCTGGCAAGCTATAGTCACACCTCCTTCCCACTCTCATCAAGGAGTCAATTACCCCTCCTACCCAATCTGTTGACTTTAGCTGCATGTGGGGGAGGGGCAAAGGATATATAAGCCAAGAACGGCAGTAGGCACCTCTCTCGCTATTTTGTGCAGCTGTAGGGAAGTCACAGGATCCATATTTGAGTGTGGACTGTCCAGCTCAGCTGTAAAGGCTGGGGGGTGGGGGGGAGTGCCCACTCTTCTGTAAATAAACCCCCACCCTATGCTCTGTTAGCAAGCCCAATAAATTAGTTAGGATTTAAAAAAATAAATAAAAACCTAATGTAAACAAACAACAACAACAAAAAACATTAAATGCACAAACTAGAAAATAATATAGGAAAAATATCAGTTGACTATGGATGAGAGGACTTATTTAAAATTTTTTTAAAAGGCTGAACATGGTGACACATGGCTTTAGTCCCAGCACTTGGGAGGCAGAGGCAGGTGGATCTTTGTGAGATGGACACCAGCCTGGTCTACATAGTGAGTTCCAGGGCAGCTTGGGCTACAGGGAAACCCTATTTTTTTTAATAAAAAAACTAAATTAAATTAAAAATAGACAAAACTAGGGCTGGAGAGATGGCTCAGAGGTTAAGAACACTGACTGTTCTTGCAGAAGACCTGGGATTGAATCCCAGTACCCACATGGCAGCTAACAACTGTCTGTAACTCCAGTCCCAGGGGATCCAACAGCCTCTTTTGACCTCCTCGGGCATTGCACGACATGGGTGCACTTACCTACATGCAGGCAATACATGCATACACATAAAATAAAAATAACTTAAGAAATTTTTAATGTAATACATTCATTCTGTTTGCTGAGTGCCCCAGAGTGCCTAGCAGAAAGGAAAGCACATGAAGAAAACAAGTCCCTCCATCCTGGAGTTCAGTTTCCTGCATGAAGAGGAAGTCATAGCACAGACAACTGTTTGGATGAGTTTCTAGTGGCAACACATGTTGTTCAGGAAAATAAACAGGCCAAGTGAAATCTTTGAGTCTGCTGCTACTGCTGAGGAAGACTAGGGGAAAAGCCAAGCTCAGCTCAGTCTCTCCTACTGAACTCACAGTGTGCATCCCTCTCTACGAACATCGGGGTCCCCACCCACCCCACATGCAAAACTGTGGTGGGCACCACAGCTCTAATTAAATCTGTTCTCATTCTGACTACCTGGAGGTGGTGTCAGTTACCAGAAGTACTGCAGGCTCAGTTTCCAAACTCCTCTTCCTGCCTCCATCCCCCAGCTGTTGTTGGGATTATAGGAATGTACCCTGTGCTAGGATACTATAAAAGGGAGTGACAGGGGCTGAAATTGTAGCTCATTGGTACAGCACTTGCTTAACATACATAAGGCCCTGGGTTAGATGCTGTACTGAATAGTTTGAGTTGTCAACTTGAAACACCTGGGTGGAGAGAGCCTCAATTGGTGAATTGCCTCCATTGAACTGGCCTATGGCCATGTTTGTGGGGCATCTTCTTGATTGCTGAGTGATATGAGAGGGCTTTGTCCACTGTGGGTAGTGCCATCCCTGGGCAGGAGGCGCCTATTTTGTATAAGAAAGCAGGTTGAGCAGAGGCCAAGAAAGTTAGCCAGTAAGCAGTGTTCTTCCATGGCCTGTGCTCCAGCTCCTGCCTCCAGGTTCCTACCCTGAGTTCTTACCTTAGGCTCCCTCATGAACTGTGACCCTGGAGACGTAAGATAAAATAAACCCTTTCCTCCCCAAGTTGGTATTGGTCAGAGTATTTTGTCACAACAATGGAGAAAAAACTAGAACAGATACCCAGCATGGTAATGGAAGAAAGGGAGAGAGAGAGGGAGGGAGAGAGGGAGAGATGGGGGGAGAGGAAGGGAGAGAGAGGGAGGGAGGGAAAGAGGGAGGGAGGGAAGATCTGGGAAATAGTTCAGTCAGTAAAATACTAGCTGCACAAATATGAAGACCTGAGTTTGATCCCCAGGACCCACTTAAAAAGCCAAGTGTGGGGGCTGGAGAGATGGCTCAGCGGTTAAGAACACTGGCTGTTCTTGCAGAAGACTGGAGTTCGAATCCCAGCACCCACATGGCAGCTAACAACTGTCTGTAACTCTAGTTCCAGGGGATCTGATACCCTTTTCTGTCCTCCACAGCCATTGCATGACACGGGTGCACTTACATACATGGAGGCAATACATTCATACACCTAAAATAAAATAAAAATAACTAAAACAAAAATTTAAAGGTGTAGTGACATAATCTGAACTTTTATGAAAGAATAAAGAATATAGGGAATTTAGAATTAAGGTAGAAGTGAGGAGACCCATCAGGTTATTATCACAGTCCAAGGGAGGAGAGGACAGTGGCTTAGTGATGGTGATGCTGCAGTTGTGAACCAAGAGGATGTGGAGCAACTGTGACACTTGTACATTGCTGGCAAGAGTGCAAAATTATATAACCACTTTGGAAATTTTTTTTTTGTCTTTTAGAGACAGGGTCTCCCTGTAGCCCCATCTGTCCTGGAACTCACTATGTAGACCAGGCTGGCCTTGAACTCACAGAGATCTGCCTGCCTCTGCCTCCCAAGTGCTGGGAGTACAGGAATGCGCCTGGGCTCAGAAAATTCTTTTTTTTAAATTCATTCTCTCTGTGCATGCGTGGGTGTGTATGTGTGTATGTGTGTCTGTGTCTGTGAATATTGTTAGAGACCAGAAAACACATCGGATCCCTTGAAACTGGATTTACAGGTGTTTGTGAACTACCCATTGTGGGTACTGGGATCTGAACTCTGGTCCTCATCATAGAGCTGCAAGCACGCATAACTACTGGGCCATCTCTCCAGTTCCCTAGATAACCATTTGGAATTAACAGCATCTTCTAATAAATTATACGTTCCTTAACCCTCAGCAGCCTCACCCGTAGGTATTTTACTCTTTTTCAAAAAATACTTTATTTTTATTTTATGTGTATTTGTGTATTGCCCACATGTAGATAAGTGCACTCGTGTCGTGCAATGCCCACGGAAGACAGAAAGGCTGTCAGATCCCCTAGAACTGGAGTTACGGACAGTTGTTAGCTGCCATGTGGGTACTGGGATTCAAACCCAGGTCTTCTGCAAGAACAGTCAGTGTTCTTAACCGCTGAGCCATCTCTCCAGGCCCATATTTAACTCTTAACTACTGAGTTATTTCTCTAGCCCAGATTGGATTCTTTTAAAGTGAAAATTGGTATTCTCCATCTTTTCTGTTTTTTCTTTTTCCTCTTTTGACACAAGGTCTTACTATGCAGCCCTGGTTGACCTGGAACTCAGAAATCTGCCTGTCTCTGCCTCCTGAGTGCTGAGATTAAAGGTGTGCACCACCATGCCTGGCAAGTAATTTTTTTGTTTTTGTTTTTGTCTTTTTTTGAGACAGGTTCTCTCTGTAGCCCTAGCTGGCCTGGAACTATGTAGACCAGTCTGGCCTTGAACTCACAGAGATCTGCCTGACCCTGCCTCCTGAATGCTGGGATTAAAGGCATGTGTCACTACACCCGGCTTCTGCAAGTAATATATGTATTTTAACATTTTATTTATTATTATTATTTATTTTATTGTTTCCATTTTATGTGTATGAGTGTATTGCCTGCATGTAGGTGAGTGTGCCTGTGTCATGCAATGCCCGAAGAGGACAGAAGAGGCTATTGGATCCCCTGGTACTGGAGTTATGGACAGTTGTTAGTTGCCATGTGGGTGCTGGGATTTGAACCCAGGTCTTCTGCAAGAATAACCAGTATTCTTAACCACTGAGCCATCTCTCCAGCCCTTGCAAGTAATATTTTTAATAGGGCTATTTCTGGCGATTTTTGTCAAACAAAGCATAACAAAAGAGGGGGATTTCACAACTCCACAAAGGATGGTGTGCCAAGTACACACTGGTGCACTTACATACACGCAGGCAAAGTAAACACACAAAATAAAAGTGAATACAATCTAAAAAAATTTTTTTTAATTAAAACAAAAAGTAAGTTGTAGACTGAGGAAGAAGATACTGATCTCTGGCCACACGTGCACGCACACACGTACATGTGTGTTCTCACTCATATGCATGTATGTACAAGCAAACGTTTACACACATAAACACCAAACCCGCAAAGGAAAACCCCTGTGATTGTACTATGCTAATATAACTATGTGATTTTTGGTTCTACTTTTTGTTTCTCAGATCCAGCTTCTCTGTTCAAAAATAGCAATACTCTTGGTCTTGTTTACTTCCTCATCTTTTCCAGAAATTCACTTTCCGGTTTCTCTTTCTGTTTCGTTGACGTCACCTCATGTTTGTCCTTTGGGGTGGCGGCTAGCACTTAATGCACAGCACTGGGGCTTCTCTGGGCATGAGAACTGGCCCGCAGCTCTGCTACCTTTCTGACTTTTCTCAGTTTCCTCCCTCCCCCCTTCAAGGACTGAGGACTGTCACCCCAAAGACCATCTATCCCTCAGGCAGCTTCAGGGTTCTGAAAGCAGCTGCCCAGGAGAAACGGCAGACCTCGCCCAGCATCTTCCACAAGGTCACTAGTTTGAAGGTGCCAACCCTGCTATGTAGTGGACGAAGATCACGTCATTTTCCCTGTGTCCTCCACGTGCACCGGGCAGGGATCAAGGGCCATTCCCACTGCCACCGATGGCAGAGCACCCAGGCTTCGGGGAGGAGCTCCGTGCATGGGCTCTGGAAGCGCCTTCTAGTAGGCCCGGGTAGGGCTTCCACAGGCTTCCGGGGGAGGCTGTGTGTCCCGGAAAGCGGGCGTCCGGGGGCGGGGCTTCCTGAGAAGCGCCCGTCCGGGGGCGGGGCTTTCAGGGGCAGAGCGGCCCGGGGGCGGGGCGGAGCAGCCCCCCAGAGGCCGCTGGCGCGCGGGCACCTCAGGAGGAAGCTGGTGAGCAAGCGGCCCGGGGGTTTGCGTTCGGTGGCTTGGCCTCAGCGTACACACTGCCCACTCCTCCGGCCGCGGCATCTTCGTGGTGAGTCCGCCCACCCTCCTGGGCTTGCCTTGGCCCTGCGCTCTGCTACGGGGGTCGGCGCCTATCTCTGTTCAGGGTCCGCTGGGTCCCTCGGCGCCGCGGGGTGCTTGCATCTTGGTGGGAGGCGGAGTGGGGCGCAGGCCGCAGGTGCCACTTCGAGAGCCGGTGCTTGGCGTGCGGAGAGAGAGCCTCCGGGCCGGGCGAGCACGGCGCGAGGCTGCGGTTCGGGTCCTCTTCGGGGCGGCGGGACCCGCTCCGCCCGGGCTGCGCTTCGCTGCGCTGTTCAGCCGTGGCCACCCCCTAAGACGAGCAAGAGACCAGTCACACATGTGCTCCCTCGCCAGCCGGGACACAGGCCTTGGACTCCGGCGTAGGGCATTTTCCTACACCGCGCGCGCCACGGAGCCCACAGCTCACGCTCACGGCCAGATCTGCAAGTGTGGCCGCCTGTCCAGGGTCATCGAGTGCTTTGCTTAAAAAAAAATTTATTCAGTGGTTGGCTGACCGACCCTATAGGACTCTGGAAGAATCCCCAAGTCCACAGCTATCGAGTGGCAGAGCTGGCAAGAATAAACCAGGTCTCAGTTGACCCCTCCGTGGAACAGAGCTGCGGTGCCGGGAGCCGCAAAAAGGATGTGATGTGGGTTTTCCACATTCCATCTCCACCCAGCCAGGGCACTTGGCAGCCTTGAGGCCTCCGATGGGCCATCTTAGACCGATTCTAGGCATCAGCTGGTACTGAGAAGTGCCAAGAAGCTTCAGTGGGCTGAACTCCGGAAAGGTTTTGTAGGGAGGGTGTGAGCCAGGCCTTTACCTGTAGTGGGCAGTGTGTTCATCTTCACCTTTTGCTGGCTCTCTTGCCCTGAGAAGGAATGAGAGTGGGGTTGGCCTACACAGCTGGGATTAGCGGGTATTTTAGCCACAGGATACAGATTCTGAGGAGGAGCAAGGTGCTGTCTCTTGGCCACTGTGATAGGTGGGTTGGATACAGGCTTTGGTGATGCTAGTTCAGAAAGCAAAGAGGCGGGACCTGTTTTGTTTATAGTTGGCCTGAGGAGGTTGAGAAGGACCCAAGCAGCCAGGTTAGTGGGGGCTCTGTAGGATGAATAGGAGTTTGCCAGAATGATAGGCTATTAGGACAGTGTAGTGAATGCTCTGGGAGAGGAGGAAATGCTCACAGCTTGAGGTACTTGGCTAGGCAAATTGGAGGAGCTGATGGTTCCTCTTATTTGCAAGTGAAAACCGCCTATGGTGGGCCTGGACTCCGGAAGGAAGGGTGAGGTCAGAAGAGGGGAATAGAGGCTTTGATGACAGCCTTTCAGGCCCAGAGGCAGATTACATGCTACTCCAGCGTTTTTCTCTGTAGTCTCTAGTGTGAAGTAGAGGGCTAGGGACCCACTTCAAGGCAGTGGCTGTCAATGTTCAAGGCCAAACAGCCATCCTCACCAGGGATACAATGAGTCTGGTGGTCCCCAGGATGGATGCTTGAGACTACCAGTCTGTAAGAAGCCCCCACTTTCAGCCTGTGGTCATTGGTCATGCATTCTGTCATTGCACCTCTGACTTCCATCTGCCAGGTTATGGCTATGCAGGGCTGCTGGTGTTTCTGTCTCTGCCCATCCTATCTGGTTGGCCATCCTTAGAGGCCACATGTATTCTCCATAGTTCCCAGTCTGAACAAGACACCTAAATCAAGGCTGCAGGGTCAAAAGCAGTAATGATCAAATATCCATAACAGAGCTTACTGTGCCTGGTACACACACAGAGAACACTTTTTTTTGGTGGGGGGGGTCTTTTTGAGACAGGGTCTCCCTGTAGCCCCAGCTGTCCTGGAACTCACTATGTAGACCAGGCTGGCCTTGAACTCACAGAGGTCCGCCTGCCTCTGCCTCCCGAGTGCTGGGATTAAAGGCGTGTACCACCATGCCCGGCCCAGAGAACACTTCTTTTAAAAACAGTTGCAATGTTACCCATGCTGGACTTGAACTCTTGGTTCAAGTGATCCTCTTGCCTCAGTCTCCTAAGTGGTGGGACTATGGTGTGCATCATTTAGATTAATTAGCTTGTTTCACATTATAGTAATCAGACTAGATTAGTACACCCCCTGAGCAGGGAGAGGTTAATTAACTTCCAGGGTCTCCAAATCAGACTTCAGAACCCCAGTTCTAACTATTGCACTATGCTACCTGCATTCCCAGGCCCCTCCCTGCTCCACTTCCTGAGGGAAGGGCATCTACCTCACACCTCAGGAGCCTGGTAGACCTCCAGGGATAAGGAGCTGAGAGAAAGACCATGGTCTTGTTTGTTTTTCAGTACTGGGGACAAACCCAGGCCAGGCTAGGTGAGCACTCTGCCACTGAGACAGACATGCACTGAGACAGACACGGGGTGCACACACAGCTTTCCAGTGGACTGCTCTTCCCTACAGGCAGCTAGAGGGAGACGGGGCAGCTAGTGATGTGGGTGGGCAGGATAAAGTTCTAGTGCCAAGGATATTTATAGTGGGGCTTCCCCTAAGATCCATCCAGGCAGACGTCCACTATTCAGTCTTTCTTAACCCTTTTCCTCTTCTCTTGGTCCAAACTGGGACATTTCAGATTAAAAAGGCAGCATATTATTTATCTGAATGAGCAGAAAAGCCTTTTCTTTTGAAGGCGCTGCTATCCTGACAGTTGAGTTCTTGGTTGGCTTATGGGTGCTTGTCCCCATGGTGCCATGCCAGCACTGCCAAGGAAAGGGGAAGGGGAAAGGGTGTTTGTTTGCTTTGTGTGTGTCTTTGTATGGGCGTGTACATATGGGCATATGGGTATGAGTGCACATGTATGTGTAGGCTAGAGATCAATGTCAGGTGTTTTCCTCAGTTATTTTCCATCTATTTTCTGTGAGAGGGTCCTTCCCTTAACCTGAGGTTCACTGATTCTGCTAGACTGGCTAGCCAGCCAGCTCTGGGGATCCTCGTCTCTGCCTTCCCAGCACTGGGATTACAGGCTCATACCACCACAGCCGGCTTTGACATGGTACTGGTGATACAAACTCAGGTCCTCATTCATATACAGGCAGGAACTTTACAAAGTGAACCATTTCCCCAGCCCCTGGTTTGTTTTTTAATGACTCTTCCACCTCAGCAGTGCAAACGGGCATTGTTAGGAGCTTGGCAGGTATTTCACTGCACACATGCACACATGCATGGGGGTGCATGAGGAGGCCAGAAGAGGATATCAGATCCCTGGAATGGAATTAAATATGGTTGCGAGCTGCCATGTGGGTGCTGGAAACCAAACTCTTGTCCTCTGTAAGAGTAGCCAGTGCTCTTTCTTGTTTTTTTTTTTTTTTTTTTTTGAGACATGCCCCGCCTGACCTGGAACTCACTATGTAGACCAGGCTGGCATACTTCACCGAGCCATCTCTCCAAAGCCTGTCGTTCATTTTAATTGACTAGTTCTGTGAAGTTATGTGGTAGTGATGGTGGTTCTCATCCATATGCTTATGTCTGGGCCAGTGTAGAGTTGACCTCAGGCCTATCTCCCAAAGCCAAACAGGGGAAAGACCTATGAGCAGCATTGTTTATCAAGCCCTGTGTTTTTCATTGGCTCCCATGAGGCAGGAAGTGTCCCTTTTTACAGATGGACAAAGCAAGGTCCCATTGCAAGTTTAAAGCCAGATGTACTCTGTCCACCTTTAGAAGTTTCTCTCTGGCCTGGTAAGGCATAAGCTTCTGAAGACACATGAATTTCAAATGCACTTCTCTGGGGTCCAGCTCTGTTTCAGCAGAGAGAGCTGGCTGAGCTGTGTCAGAGCTGGGGGCTCAGGGTTGGGGGTAGCAGGAGTAGAACTGGAATGGTAGCTCAGGGCCAGGGAGAGTAGGGGCAGAAGTGGCAGATGGGATTGTGGCACAGTGGCACTTGGGAAGAGACCTGTGCCTCTCCTGGGAGAAGGTCCTTGAGAACTGGTCTTATGGTCACAAGAAGCCTCAGGTCAGTGGGCAGCCAGCTGAGCCACACTCAGCTCAGCCAGCATATAACCAAGAGGCACCATCTGCAGAGTCAGATGGCATGGGAGGAGTTGGGGGAGGATTTGCCGCAGCAGCTATTTTCTTTGAGACAGGAGTAGGCCACTGGTGTTCCATGGGGACCTGAGCTTTGAGTGCTGGGGGGTCAGTGCTTTAGGACTGTCCCCTTCTTGGCGCAGTTCCCTATGCATGTGCCTCATGGGGACAAAGGGACCATAGCCAGGCCCAGCACCTGGGGACCCTGGAACCCACTGAGGCAACCCAGCGCTAAGTGAGACAATTTAGGGCTTCTTCGGGAACTTTCTTTTTGAGACAGGGTCTCTCTGTGGCCCCAGCTGGCCTGGAACTCACTATGTAGACCAGGCTGGCCTCAATCTCACAGATACTCACTTGCCTCTGTCTCCCAAATGCTGGAATTAAAGGTATGTCCCCGACCCCCACCCCGTCTGCGGGAATTTTCTAGCAAAGTTTTCTTCATCAGTTCTGGAAAGGATGGGATGGGCTGGGTGAAGCCTCAGGAGCCCACCACGCCTTCTCAGCCTAGCATGTTGCCATCCTCTCTTATACCACAGACCTATCTTCTCCCTGATTTCCAAACAAGACTAGACCAGCTCTTGGCTAAAACATGGTCTTGTTTGCCCCTTGGTGCCTTCTAGGACCTGAAGAGACTCACCCCAAAGCCCTTCGCTGGCTGACCAGGGAGCAGAGTGCAGTCCATATTGGGAACATGTTCCCTAAGGAGCACGTCTCACCAACGTCTCACCAGGCAAGATGACTGTACTGGCTGCATCTTGACCTGCCCTAGTGTCTATTCTGTTCTCCCTGATGTAGGCTACTGTCCCCTTCACAGGTGAGGAAAAGAGGTTTTCTGTTAGGGAATGGGGAAAAGGGGTAGGAGATTGCTGTTACCAGTGTAGGCCCACTTCTGTCTCTGACCCTAGGGCATGATGGGAGCAGTCTAGGTCAGCCTGTGTTGTATGTTTTGCTGGGC